TAGCAAGCTAACGTATAGCTAGATTAAGAGCATTTAGCTTGTTGTCAGATCAACTACTTCAGTTAGGTCACATCTTAAATTAGCTAATACTAGCTAACAGGCTAGCTAACATATAGCTAGCTCAAGAGCAGTTAGCTCATTGCCAGATCAGGAACTTCAGCCAGGTCACATCTTAAATTAGCTAATGCCAGCTAACTAGGTAGCTAAAGTATAGCTGGATCAAGAGCAGTTAGCTTGTTGTCAGATCAGTAACTTCAGCCTGGTCACATCTTAAATTAGCTAATGTTAGCTAATTAGCTAGCTGCTTTGTGGCTGCACCAAGAGGAGTTAGCCTAATGTCCACACAGCATCTTCAGCCAACGAAGGCAGTTGCTAATAAGTGGCTAAATGCTACTACAGGACATCATTGCGCTAAACACGGCTTTGCAGTTATGGTGGTGATGTCAGGTCATGTGACCATATAGTGTAGTTTCATTTATAGCCGAACTTTAGCTTTTTACTTCTGGCGATTGCATTTAGGTTTCCATGACCATTAAAGTGCTGTTCATTTGTTAAGATTATCTCGCTGAGCAAAACATGTAAGTATCTTAAATGTTTGTTTGCAACAGAGTGTATTTCCAAAATCCCTTAGGCTTTTTGACGAGAACCACGATGATGCTAACTTCCGCGTTGGCATCATCCCTCTCTCTGTTGACTCATGGTGCGTTCCAGGCAGGCTTTTGAACTCGTAAGTCACGACTTCAAGTCACTAGTTACGACTTTGTAGCGTTCCAGGAAAGTTACGGCAAACTGCCAGTTACTTCCTGTTTAACGTTGAACATGGCGAACCGTTTGTTTCTATTACCAAAGGTGCCTGCTCCTTGCTCATTTGAGCGAAACGGAGGAGAAGAAACAGCGCACAAGGTCACAGATGCTATTATACTTTTTATTTTTACGTTATCTGTGTGTTTAGAAACGTATTTTGTATTGATTATTCTTGCACTGGAAACCAGCTGTTAGAGCGGCTGCCAATAATGCATTAACATTAGGGTTATTTTATGTCTATTTCTCACCACGTATCACCTGCATCAACACCGCATCCATAGGGCTGCCATTGTTGTTTAGAGGAATAAGGTAATTGGTTTAGAGGGATGTGTGACGTCAGAAAGCTTAACTGGGAGTACATCGATCTGGTACGAGTTCACGGGTGGGAAGTTACGGGTTTGACTGCCGTTCCAGTGCACTTTCACGGGTTACAGGTTGTGAAAAAAGGAGTTACGGGTTGCCTGGAACGCACCATCATAGTCTCTGTACTGCTCCCTTTTTTATGCAACAGGAAGCCTCAATTTGTGCAGTTAAGTCTTGTTCATAAAAGTTAACTACTGATTTATCTTTCATCTTTTTTCATCCTGTATCGCCTCACGTAGTGAAACTATCTAATAAAAACTCTAGCACCGGGCCAAGCAGAACAAGTCGCCATGGAAGCTTTTGTCAAGCTTGTCCAACTTAACTGACTGATCTCAAGTCTTGTCCCGTTTATTGCTTTTGTTGAGTGGCATTTTTTTGTTGGCATATGACTTTTTGTTTTATACTTTTTATGCTTTTGTATCACATCTACATTGTCAAGTGATCTTTTTTTCTCAAAGTAGTTTAAACTACTTTCTTTAAGTAGCTTTAGTTAACTAGATTTTTCCCTAAGGTAGCTTTGCTGTAGTTTAAATTCTTCCAGTGTGAAGCAATACTTACACCTTCTCAAAATGATCCCACACTTTGGATTTTCTGCCCAACATTAACTAGCCTGTGTAATAACCTCAGGTACCAGCCCTGTAAATTAGGGGCCTCACACATGCCATGTCTTTATTTGCCTGGAAAACGCAAGGTTAGGCGCTGGGCACTTCTCTTGTGCCTTTTTTGTGCCAGCTTTCAAGAGCATGGTGGCAGGTTTTGTCTGAGGTTGCCAGGCAACATTAACAAGCATTGTATAGCCTATTTACCTGAAATCCTGAGTGCAGAGCTGATCTTCTTTCAGGTGCTGTTTATAAGTGTGTAGGCCTGTCGTCTGTGGGACAGATGCAAAGCTCTGGGTAGCCCTGCACTAACATGATCAACTTTTCCGTATTTATCAGACTGAATATTTACAGAAGAAGGGAAAGATATTTGTCAGCTGTGACTGGATTGTAACGTGACACCTGTCTGACTGCTGAACGTGCCCTCTTCCTTTGTCTGTCCTTCAAATTAAATTCCCTCATGGTCCAATCATATAGGTTTTGATTTATTGTGACAAGGCACAGCTCCTAATAGAGTTTCATGTTTGGTTGTTTTTTGTGTGACTAAATGACCAATGAAATCTTGCCAATTAATGACCTTTCTGGTTGACTGATGTTTGGTCAACTATTAGGGGGCAGCCCTAGTTGCAACTTAGAAGCGGGGATGTTAGTTGGCATTTTAACCCCAAGGTCACAACCCCTGCCCTTGACCATTTCACTAAGAAAAATCTAATCACCATGCTTAATTCTTTGGGACAGTGGGAGCAAGCAGTAAAGTGCATTTGGATCGATAGCAAAATACATTGCCCGCAGTGTGGTAGAAATCAGCTGCTCCTGGTGTTTCCTGCAATTGGTGTTTCCACTGTAAAAAAAGGAAAAAAAAAAACAACCCAAAGGGTTGGTCGCTCCATTTGTCCAGCCCTCTTCTAATGTGAGGATAAGTGTGAGGTAATATTTCTGAACAGCACATTTGCTGTACACACCTCTGGCTGATTGTCGGTGGTCCTGGACTCATGATGCCTGCTGGCGCCTTCCTCTTTCTGCTCCTCCTTACAGGTACGGTTTCTCTTGTCTTCACAGTACCACTGTTCCTTTGGATAATCTACACATCTCAGTGTGGACAGCTTTTATTGTATTTAATTTATAACAAGAAAATAATCTTAATGGCAAGTGAAGTCTGTTGCTGATCAAGAGTTACCTAGACACCATTTCTGAAAAGAGGTGTTGGTGTTGAACTTTTAAATGTTGTGCTGTGCTTTGAGAGTGCCACTAAATAACTTACATTTACCTCCACTGTTTTGAAAAAGAAGCAGAAATCAGAAAAGCAGAAAAAAGAGACAGATATTTTAAAACCTGGAAAACCAAAAACTGTCTGCATAGCTATGGCTAAGTTAAAAATAATTCTTGTTGTTTTTTTGTTTTTGGTAGACTGAGCATATAGCCTAATAGCTCCTTACATCTTATTATTTAATTAAAGACGTCTGATTGCAAAAGCCTGAAAGAACTGTTGCGAACAGCTCTTTAAATTGCTGCAATCAGGTTTTCAGACAGTTCTGAGTGCTGCTGGCTGTAATTGTATTACTATACATTTTGTGGTATGTAGCAGATGGATCTCAAATGGAGAGTCTATTTAGAATCAGACGGCTGTAAAACATTGTTTAGTGGTCAAGTAGGTGAGCTTATACTCCACATGCCTAAGTGCCAACATCCATCTGTGACCACAAGTACCAGATATTATTTCAGGTATTTGTAAGCTGGGTGCTCAGAAACTGAAACTGAAAGACTGATGAAAAATTGGTAAACCTCATACGCTAAATTCAGAAATAGTGACTAACTAGACAAACATACTGTAAGGGCTCTGAAGCAGGGGAGTTCCCAAGAGTGGGCCAGGGGGGCCATGGCCACCCTGATACAATTGCTTGCCCCCCCCCCCCCCAAAACATAATAGGAGGCCATCATAACTGTTTTTAAAGGGATAGTGCACCCAAAAATGAAAATTTGAAAATTCAGCCATGACAGGGGTCATGTTGTTTGGTTTTTTTGTTTGGTTTTTTTAAAGATTATTTTTTGGGCTTTTGCCTTTAATTGACAGGAGAGAGTGAAATGGGGGAGTGAGAGAGAGTGGGGGGATGACATGCAGCAAATGTTTGCGAGCCAGAGTCGAAACCGCGACCGCTGCAGCGAGGCATCACCTCTGTACATGGGGCGCCAGCACTATCCACTACGCTACCGACACCCCAGACAGGGGTCATGTTACTAGCAAATCACAGCCGACAGATATCTTTCCCTTCTTCTGTAAATATTCAGTCTGATAAATACGGAAAAGTTGATCACGTTAGTGCAGGGCTACCCAGAGCTTTACATCTGTCCCACAGACGATAGGCCTACACACTTATAAGCAGTGTCTGGAAGAAGATCAGCTCTGCACTCAGGATTTCAGATAAATTGGCTATATGATGCTTGTTAAGGTTGATTAGTAACCTCAGACGCAACCTGCCGGCACCTAACCTTGCGTTTTCCAGGTGGTTAGAGACGCAGCATGTGTACGGCCCCTAATTTCCAGGGCTGGTACCTGCAGTTATTCCACAGGCTAGTTAATAACATGTCGGGCAGGAAATCCAAAGTGTGGGATCATTTTGAGAAGGTGAAGGACCAACCCAAGGTGATATGTAAACTCATCTTCATTGGTCGACTACAAACATGACGTATCATCTGAAACATGGAAGTAGCTACATGCCCATTAGCCCACAGTGTCATTAACAGGCGGCTCGCTCAGTGTGTGACGTGCACTTGTAGATAAAATATAGGCCTATATTAATGAAGGTTCATTAGTACGGTTTTGTATTTCCTTGTAATGTAGCACAGTGTTAACAATGTTACTGATACTATTCTTTCTCACACCTTCAACTCAAACCATTGTGTTGCCCCACCCAAAATATATGATTTCATAATTACATTAATATTGTAAACATGCGGGTGACTAGTTGACTAATGGTCCCAATTGACGACTATTGGTTGACTAGGAAAATTCTTAGTCAGGGGCAGCCCTAGTCAGTATTTGATTCATTAACTCTCATATTGACAGTTTCCAACTAGCTTTATATTTCAACAACATAATCAAATTCCTGAATTTCAGTTGTGGCTTTTGGTTTTGACGAGCCACCCGAAGATTTTCAGTGGCCACATCTGGCTACCTCATGAAAAATTTCTGGGGGCGCCACTGCTCTGAAGCCATAATTTAACAGATGGAAATTGGTATGTTTCTGTATTTCATACATGTAAGATCATCTCTCTCTCATTGTTGATGCGTCTTGATGTTTTTAGCCGTGCACAAGTCATCTGAGACAGTGTGCAGTTATCAGGATGTTTTAAACTACCTGAACTTGACCAGAAACAATGAGCTGTTCTTCATGACCCGGCCTGTCAAAGACTACCAAAACCCCACACAGGTATTCCTGGAGGTACTGCTGTATGCCATTCTAGATGTGGTGAGTAAGTAAGACTTGACATTATAACGGTTGCTGTTGTTCATTCATATGAAAGTGGTTCAAATGTGTTTTTGTGATTTGAAGCTGTATGTCAGGCTTGGTTGTTTGGGTTGTGCTGTCATGCTGTCTTTCCCTGACTGGAAAGATTTTCACTGTATTTCTTTGTTTGTTTATAGAGAGAGATTGACCAGACATTTGTTCCTTATGTTTGGATTTTCACGGTGAGTTCTCTCTGAGAAAAACAGCACTTGAATCGTCGTCACCTTGTCACCATTGTATTCCTGATTTTTGTTCCCTGTTTGCCTCTGTAGAAGTGGCAGAACGAACACATTCACTGGGATCCAAATGACTTTTGTGGTATTGAGGCTGTTTCTCTTCCCACCGAGGTTTTGTGGAAGCCAGATATAGCTATTGAAGAAATGTACGTTTATGCACTCACACTCATAAAACTGCACACAGTCACAATTACAGGAATTGGTGTAATGGGGAATCATGTTACTGTTTACAAATAATGGCTGAAGCATATGGAAACCAAGACACTATACACCACAGTGTTTAAAGGGCCAGTGTGTAAAATGGGTTGAAAACCGTTGAGAACAGTGACATCAGTGGTCAAATTCTAGATTGCAGGTCTCACTCGCTCACCCCTCCCGTCGGGTAAATGACGGTGGCCTCGTAGGGACAAAAAGCCTTTAGTAGACACGCTCCTTTTCAGGAGTAGGTCTATCAAGCGACAAGGTGAATATTTATTTAGAAATCTAAACCATGTTACGATATTGTAATGAATCCCTCACGAGCAGGAGACCAGAGGAGCGTTTGGGAAAAAGGCCCGTTTATTTGAGCACTCCAAAAACTCCAGTAACACTCCAGGGGATAGCACGTAAAAGACTCCGTCCCAAACTCTGACTCTTCTAGCGTAACACACACACTTCATACACACATACTCACTTACAGTA